TTTAAGGATGTGTGTGGACGTTTCGTTTACCGGGTGGTATGGGGCTGTAATGGGGTGTGTTTGTGTACCTGTACGGGGGGTGTTCGGGAGTTTACATGTACTGGGGGGCGTATGGGGTGTGTGTGCACGTGTACCGGTGATATGGGGCTGACCTGGTGTGTGTGTACCTGTACGGGGGGGCTATGGGGTGTGTGTGTGTACCTGTACTGGCTGTGTGTGTATGTGTACTAGGGTGTGCCTGGTGTATGTGTGTGCTGCTCTGGATGTGGGGAGCTGGTCTGTTCCTGGCCACAGGGGTGCGTGGGGCTGGGGCAGATGTTGGGCCAGTGCAGTGTCTGAGCTGTCTGTGTGTGGGGGGGACCGGGAGTAATGGTGAGACTGTAACCGGAGGCAGAGGGGTCTGTGCCTGGTTTTCAAGATTAGTTTAAATCCCCCCACCCTCTCCAGGTAGCCACAGACTAGAGATAATCCTGTCACCTGTGCAGTGATGTCTGCTTTCAGGGCTTGCTCCCCATTGAAGGGGGTGCTTTGAAATCATGTAACTTAAAAACCAAGTCTGCATGTTAGGCTATAAAGCTCACAACAGCTGTTGTTGTAGTTCTTAAACTCTTATCTTCATTGTGCTTTGCTTACCTGCCAGGGTCTGGGTGGGTCACTGAGTGGGTCTGAGGAAAACAGGACCAGACATATACTGGTGCCCCCTTGCAGGTGCTCTTGCAACCCTATCTTCTCTAATGCTCTACAGCAGTAATGTGTTTCCTGGTCACTTGGAATGATCTGTGAAATGAAGATGGGCTTCTCTTCTTCTGCTAGGCCCCTTGCTAATGAAAGACGTGTGGCCTGCGAGCCATCACACATGGTTTGGGGTCTGATAGGTAAGGGAAATATAGCTTCCCCCACCTGTACTCTCTGCTCTGTGCATGGATCCTGGGAGTGAGGGAGAATACGCTTCTCTGTCTCCACTTGTCTCTGTTCCCTGCATGGTCTCTGGTTCAGGGAGACAGTAGCAACCACATCTTTCTCTCCAAGGGCTACCTTCATTACTATTAGGCCTTGTCTAGGTGGGGTTTTAGCCACTGGTGCAGACCACTACTGTAGACACAGCTTACACTAGAGCAGCACAGGTGTGAAACTGGGGTAAACTGCAGCAGTGCAAATTGTGTCTGTGCTAGTGGTTTGCACCAGTGCAGCAACATTAGTAGCTAAAATCCAAATGTAGACAAGGCCTTTGAGTGGAAGGCACGAGCATACTTGTTACAATCCAGAATGATGGTGTGCCTGTGCAAAGAAAGATTAGAAAGTGAAATTGACAACTTTTGTAGAAATTAAACAAAGCCCTGTTGAAAGTAAACAAATGGAAAAAAGACATCTCTTCATTTTATTATTATCTTAAATGTTACACAAGGCATGTAGTTAAAGAAAATTCAGACAGAATTGTGATTATTTTTATTTTAGTTTTCATGTAATGGGATCCATATGAGCAGGTCCTTGCAGTGATGTAGAGCTGCATTGGCTTCAGTGGCTCTGTTTGGGTGCAAGGGTTGACCCATGTGGATCCTGTTACAAACTAGTGTCCCCCCTAATCCTGTAACTCATATGTTGAAGATAAAAAAATGTAGGTTATTCGTATGTTTTTTTTAAAAATTCATTTTCTTGAGCTTATATGTTCAAATTCCATTTCCCCTAACCTAGGGTATGGCTATGTTTTGAGCTGGGGGTGTACTTCCAATGTGGAGGAAACATACGCACACTAGCTTGATGTGAGCTAGCAAACTAAAAATAGTTAGGTTAGCTAGTCCTGCCCATTCACGGCACAGTGGCTACACTCTATTTTTAGTGTGCTAGTGTGATCAGAACTAGTGAGCTGGGAATTGTGTCCTCAGTTCAAAGTGTGAACATGCTACAATTTTTTTTTTTAAACCTTTTCAAAACCTCATGTTGCTAGTTAAATCCTTCCTTAGTTTTTTATCTGGTCTTATGCGTAGGACACTGAAACAGGGCTTAAGATGCAGGGTTGATTCCCTGCTGCTTTGTGTGACCATGGGCAACTTTCACAGTTTGTTTGTCTCATTTGCCTGTGTGTGTGCATGTGTTTAAATACTGCTGTTTGGGAACTTATCTAAGGTAGAGCTGGACAAATAACAGATTGTTTGGTTTGGTGGTGGTTCTGAAAAACTGTGAAACAATCATTTTGGGTCAAACAAAGCGTTTCATTTTGATTTTTTGAGCATTTTTAAACGGTTTTGAATTTTTAAGATAAAATTGAAGGAGATTTAGAAAAAGTCATTGAACTAAAAAAATCAAAACATTTAGAAAATGTCAAAACAAAATGTTTTGGGTTTTTTTTGCATGTTCTTTGTTTTTTTCACTAAATGAACAATTTGGCAAAACTAACTCAAATTCACAAAATGTATCATTGTCAGCAAATCTGCATTTTTCTCTAGAAATATGTTTCAGACAGAAAACTTAGCCAAGCTGTGCATCTAAGGATATGTATACACTTCAAATGCTACAGCAGTGCAGCTGCGCCACTGTAGTACTTCAGGATGGGTTTTCCCGTCGGCGTAGGTAATCCACCTCCCAAGAGGTGGTAACGTGGTCACACTCAGTGAATAGCCTTTTATCAGTGGAGTGTTCTTGACTATGGATACACTTACTGGAGCAAAGCAGAATGAGCCCGAACTAGACATTTCAGAGCACGGTGTAGACATCATCTCACAATAACAAAGGCAAAAGAACAAGTTAATTTAATACAGAAATTCTTCCATGTAAAAGGGGGCGAACCTAAGACTGGGAGAGCAGGATCGTCTATATAGAAAATTTAATGTGACTTTCTTATTTATTGAAGTAATAGGTTTACCAGAAATGCATGAAGTTTTGGTGATGCTTAAAGGAACATGGCAATTTAAATCACACTTCTGCCTGAAGTTTTTACTTACTAATATTACAAGTAGCATCAAAAATTAAGCTCTTTGGGGCAGGGACCATTTCTTTGTTCTGTTTGTACAGCACCTCACACAATGAGATCCTGATCCATAACTAGGGCTCCTAGGTGCTATGGTAATACAAATATTTAATAACAGATTACAGGAAAATATTTTTCTTCACATTAACTTTGTACTTTCCACAGCATTTTGAGTATAGTCAATGTCACTGTTTTACCTGTACGTTTGTGGGCCTTTCACATGGCAACAGGAAAGAGGAAAAACTTTAGTTTACCCACTCGCCAAAAAATAAATAAATTGTAAACCCACAAACGTTGACTGGGGGGCTTAGGGGCAAGTGTAGTAGCAGAAACTATTCTTAACAGACTTCTTACAATTGATTTAAGCCTGCCCAACCATCCCATTCTGTTTAAAATGATTACGCACATAGTTACTTGTATCTTTGGTTAGCAATATTTTTACGTAAATACTTTTTAATCTGTGGAAAGAGCACTGCTTTGAGAGGAATGATGGTATTATTGTAAAGCCCTATACTGGGAACCACATCTGGGTTCTGTACTTGGATCTGTTGCAGACTTGTTGTGTGACCTTGGGCACATCGTTGATGGTATTTTTTTTTCTTCTTCTGGAACTGGCAAGCACCCATAAAACTAATTTATCTCTTTGTGCTTCACTGTCACATACATGGAATGAACTTCCATATTTTGTTAATAGTGGGAAGATAAATCCATTAATGTGTGGCAGGTGCTCAGAGTCTACAGTGAGGAGCAACATAGAAAAACCTATAAATATTGGCATTTAAAATGGTTGGAAACTGGCAGAATAATCAGATCTTCATATTTTACTAGAATATATTCTAAAAAATCATGATGTGCTACCTTTTTCTGAACAAAATTCTTATTTTTTAGATTATCCTTTTAATCAAAACTTCTTATTTCTGTTTATAATATAGGCTATCGCAATAGCTTGAATTTCATGATCCAGTGAACAGTTAAAATAACTTTCTGAACAATTCCTATGCTGCGTAGCTGCAGTTTGCTAAACAGAATAAGTCTTTATATTTGTATTGAAAAGCCTTTTGTAACTGTTTTTTACAATACAACCAGCTAGAATACACTTTAAAAAAACAACAAAAACAAAACCAAAAATCTGTACTTAGAACTTTTGCTTGTCTTTTACCAATTTAAAATAATTGACCATTGTATACTAGAAAGGGGTGGCTCAAATTAGCTTCAGGAAAATTTACCAAACATTGTATTCCATGGTATTTCAACTCATGGCATAGGTAAAAATAAAGGGAATTGCTAACAGACTCTGAAAGTTTTTTATTTTTTGCGTAACTTAATTGGTGTACTGCTCTTAAACACTTGCCCTGTTAATGGCTCTGTATGGCATCTTGACTCAACAGAGCAAATGTGACTCTGTCACATGTGGGATTGAATACAGTTGGGTGCTCCTTTACCAGACACTGTCTCTTCAGTGTTTGGAAAAACGTTCCTATGTCTGTGTGGATGTATTTATTTAGAGATTCTGTGGAACATCAGTTTCCAAATCGCATAATCTCCTGGATTTTTGTGTGTGTAAATGGCAGTAGTTGCAACACATGTCCTTGTCAGTGGGAGGCCTTAGTCAAATGTATGTTTTTTTCATATTTTAAAACCAAACAAAATAACTTTTTATGGATCAAGTGAAACACTTTCCTTCCTATCTTTTCTCATGACTGAGGGGCAAATTGTGCATAGTTTTATATCCCTTAGTGACTACTTTGTTTGTTGTTACTTTTGTTAATTGAGTTTTCAGATGTAACTGGCAACCAAAATATAAGATCGCAAAAGAAAGTGATTGTGAACAGGTTATTCATCTAGATGTATAGCACTGACTGTATTGTAAAATAAAATATTTTATTTTGCAGCTATCTGTACTTTAACTTATTAACACTGATTGAGTGACTTTTTTATTGATGGTTTGGTTTATGGGGACATGACAATTTTTGGTGTAAGTATGGCAGAATTCATTATCCTGTATGGCTGGATATTTGATGGGTAATGAATTCTGTCATACTTACACCAAAAATGGTCAAGCATTACATTAATGAAACATAATCTCTTTATGTACCATGATTATTGTCGCCTGTGTTGATTAACATTTCTTCCCCATTTTTATCTCCTTTTGGCCCAGTATTTAGCTCAGAAGGTATTTTGCTACTGTCTCTCTCAAGATGTAGCATTTAAATGCTCCTTTGATCTTGTGTGCACCTTAAATCCATCTAAGGGTCAAAGTGGCTGGATTCTGGTTTTCCATGTCAGCTGCATCTGGCTGGCGGTGTTGGATTGAGTTAAACTCTCTGTTCTTAAAGTGACACCATGCTGCACTTTCTTGTGTAGCAGTTTCACCAGAATTCATACTGTATCAAATATGAATTACTGACTGGCTTTAATCTGTCACGTTCATCCCCTTTCTAAACATAATTTTTGAAAAAATAAATATGCCAGCAGCTATATTCTGGAAGCTTTTCACACATCTGTGTGTGACAGACGACCTGGAGATTTATGCTTGCTGCTTTTGTGAGAAATGTGCGTGTAAGCTCCAGCATAACATTTTAGCATCAATTCTCTTCATCTGCTTTAACTCTGAGAGTGGAATGGCCTGTACATAGGAGGAAACCTCCACTCATATAACTACAATTCTAACTTTTTTTTAGACCCCACATCATGGCAAGATATTCTCAAGAATTGCATAGTTTTTCGCCTGTTCTAGCAGTTACTTGGTAAGCTAGACAAAGGTAACTTTTTCTCCCTTTGCATTCCCAGGAGTGCAGGTTGGTGTAGTCAATCTTGAACTAGTTGCCTCTTCCTTCCATTGCTCTCCTCATCGTGTGAAGTCCCTTGCTCCATAATAATCATTACAGTAATGCATAGAGGCCCCAACTGAGATAGGAGCTCCGTTGTGCTGTGCATTGCACGTGCACAGAGTACAATAGATCTTGCATTGGAGAGTTTACAAACTTAAATAAAGACAAAAGGCGGGGAGAAAAAATATTCCCATTTTAGAGTTGAGGAATTGAGGTAGAGAGATTGACTTGCATTCACTCACATAGGAGGTCTGTGGAAGAGGTTGGGAATTGAGCCCAGATCCCTGAGCTCCATTCCAGTGTCTTAACCACTACCCTTTTTGAGATTATGCTTTCCCTTTGCTCTTCACGTGAAAGTACAGTGTTAGCTCCTTATAGAACTTGGTTTCATCAGTATAGGCCTGATTCAAAGCCCATTGGAGTTAATGGAAACCTTTTGAAAACGTGGAGTTAAGGTTGCAACCACACGATGGTGCTCTTTTCCTTGTGCCCTTCTTGAACGTGAGAGTTCAAACCCTTGAATTCACATTTGGGAGGAAGAAACCAGGGAATGCACACTTAAAGTTACCACAGAAGATATCAGGGCCAGGGATCATCCATTGATGTTGAAAGGCAATAAATTAAAACTGGTAAAAGAAAGTGAATATTTACAAAAAAGGATAATAACTGGTGGAATTCACTGTTACAGGGTATGTACACCAATGGCTTAGTAAGATTTAAACACTTTTAAACATTTAATGGATTACCAGGGATCTAGATCTTCATGTTTCAGGATATAAACTTTCCACTAACTTTCTGGGACTAGAGAAACTTCTTTCTGGGCAGGTTATTTTATTGTTCCTTCCTCTAAAGCAGTGGTTTTCAACCTGTGGTCAGCAGACCCCTGGAGGTCTGCAGACTATGTCTAAGACTTCCAAAGAGGTCTGCACCTCCATTTGAAAATTTTTAGGGGTGCACAAATGAAAAAAGGTTGAAAGCCACTGCTCTAAAACATCTGGTGCTGGACACAGTTGGTCTGAGTCAGTATGTTGATTCCTAATTCCTATGTTCCTAAATGATCTTATGCATCTTTTGTGTATATAGTAATAGTGTATGTGGTTAGGATGACTTAGACTGCTTTTGGTCTGAGAGTTGTTACTTAGAGTTCCATGAAAACTAAATCAGTATATGACCTGTACTCAGTAATGATTGCTGTTTGTTATGTTGAAAGGATAGTGAGAGGTGTGTGTCACTTAAGACTTATGAAGGCTTCTACACTGTGCTGACTAAAATTTATATTTTCCACGATGCACAAGGTTGTTGTGGTTTTTTTTTTTAAGTCCTCATGATGAACTGGAATGCAGAATTATTTTAACTCTGCTAAGTACATGCTTGGCATATCTTAAAATAAGGCCCTTGATTTCTGGGGAGGGCAGGGTTTTACAGGAATAGAGAGTTCACTTTATATAACTTAAAAAATTAGTATGGGCCTTTTGGATTTTTCTAACGCTTAATAGTGAGTCCCCTCTACTCAAAGCTTTGGTGTGTCATGACGGTTAAGTTTTCTTATTGCAGAAATATATTACAGTATTATGTCAACTCTTCAATGTTAGATTTTAAATGAACATGACTTGAATAATAAGCTTCATGAGAGATTTTCTTGTCTAACCAATATTTCCCCACCCTATTTATAACCCTCCTTTACTCACTGCAGTTATACTTTATTTCAGAGAAATGGCAGAAGAAAGTATGTTCCAGAGTCTCCTGAAAATCTTGACTAAAGCCTCATGTGAAATGGAATTGGCCTGCAAGGATTCCATGGAACTGATAACTCTAGACACATGTCTGCTGCTTATAGCAGAATGTTTCAGATGTCTACGGAATGCCTGTGTTCGGTGTGCCAAGAATCAAGATGTTCTAAGGTATAGTTATGATCCTTATTAACATACACAAATTTTAGAGAGTTTAAATTGTTTTGGTGCTTTATCTTTTATTTTACCCTGTTGTGTTCTTATTTGACTTGTAAGTATATTAACTGATATTTCCCACTTAACAGAATTCTTTAAGAAAATATTTAGATTAAAATAATTATAAAAATTCATATGTCAGAGTTAAGGTTGCTGGATTGTGATGAAAATATTCATTTCTTTATCGTCTGAATAATGGAAGTTGATTATGTGATCAGTATAATATTTATGATAACTTTAATTTTTTAGCTTCTAAGTGGATTGGTTTTGTAAATGATATGATAGGGAATATATTCTTAGAAGTCAGCAACTATAGCTGACTTTTGAAATGAAGGATGATTTAATGTTTTTTTTAATACATGTAGGTTTACATCTTGCGTATGACAAAATGCATTCAATATTTGTGTGTGCTATCTGGAATAAATTGTACACTTCCACAAATGTGGACTGTTAGTGTAATATTAATGGATGTGAAGATCTGGATTCTGCCCTCAATTATGTAGTCTCATCTCCATTTATTTCCGGTTGCATGGGTGTATTTCAAACAGAATTTAGTTTTAATTTCTTAGATTGTCAGTCATCCACTCTGGATTTGCAAAAAACAGTAAAAATAAATGTTAAAGAGCCAGTAATACTTTGCTCTTACAGTACTTCTCATTTTCAAAATGCTGTTAAAAATTTAGCTAGTTAAACCGTAAAAGCTAGCCAGAAAATAGCTATATCAAGGTTGCTGGATTATGTGAAACTGGTGTTCAAAATCTCAAAAATTACTCTTTCTGGGACTTGTCAAACCTGACTTTACTGAATTGCTGAGATATAGTATTCTATACGAGATGGCAATTGTCCTATATTGGGGCAGAATAGATGAAGTTAAATAACAGAACTCCATAAATACTGTGATAGTGTTCAGATGAGGATGTTGCGTTTGATGATTTTTTTTTTTAAAGACTTGCATAACTGAAAAAGGCTGTGAATGGAATTTCCTGGTAATAGCAATAAATGATTGTTTAAATATGTTCTATATTGCTGCTTCCTCATTTTAAATGTTTCAGGCTGTAGTGTTTACTTAGAATCCAAAATGAGGGTTATATAATATTTTGTGGTTGCATCCTATGACAGCAAACTATTCAGACATTCTCAAACTACTGTAGTCTTCTTTTCACTCAACAAAATGTTTAAAGGGTTGTTGCCTTATTTCCCACCAGAACCATTAAGCACAAATACATCTAAAATTCTGAAACATAAAAATTTAGGTGAAATTATTAGTCATGTTTGTAAATATTTTCCAGATTCTTAGAGTTAAATCTTTGATATTTATTTAAAGTAATTTAAAAAGTTTTAGTGTATTTAAAAATGAAGATTTATAAGTTTTACAAAAAACATACCATTTAACACACAATTTCCATAATTACAGTCTATTTGCTAGGGGCCTGGATAAATGAATATAGTTGCACAGATGAACTATTAGTCCTGGAGGAATTGTGCGCCATTGCGCATGCGCAGAATTCATGTGCTGCATATATATATATTTATTTTTTGGTGTGCAGAAAATAGCTTCTGCTGGAAAGTTGCTGCAGTTCTGCCTTTTGCCCACCAGGGGGCGCTGTGGTGCTAGAACAGAGCAGCTGCTCCTGGCTAGCCCCAGCTACGATAGAGAAGAGAGAGAGCCTGCAGTGCCTTCTTCACAGTGCCTGTCGGGCCAGGTCGGGAGACAGATAGCATGGGGATGCTGGAGGGTCATAGATTGTCCTCCTCCACTAGCCCTTATGAGCCCGAATGGGGTGGGGGCTGAATGGGATTGGAGGTGCAGGGCCACATGGGGGAGGGAGATGCAGGGTGACATGGAGACAGGAAAGGGGGTGTAGGGCCACGTGGGGGTGGCTGAATGGGGGCATAGAGACACATGGGGACGGGGTGCAGGGACACATGAAGATGAGGGGAGGGGGCTGGCTGAGGGAGTGTAAGGATACCGGCACAGGGAGGGGGTGCAGGGCTACATGAGGTAAGGTGGATGGCTGAGAGGGGGGCACAGAGACACTGGGACAGAGGGGAGGGGCACATGGAGATTAGGGGAAGGGACTGGATGAGGGGATACAGGGACACATGAACACGGGAAGCGGGTGCAGGGCTACGTGGGGGAAGGGATGACTGAGTGGGGCACAGAGACACATGGGGACAGAGGGGAGGGAGTGCAAGGACACATGGAGATGGGGGAGGGGGCTGGCTAAGGGGGTGTAGGGCTACAGGGGGACGGGGGAAGGGTGTCGGGACATATGGGGATGGGAGGGAGTGGGTGTCTGGGATGGAGGGACACATGGACAAGGCGTGCAGGGACACATGGGGACGGGCAGATGTGCCTGACTGAATGGGAGAGGCTAGGGGTCAGGCAGGGTCTGAATGGGGGAAGCTCCCTAAAAATCCCTCCCTCACCCCCCCCAAAAAACCCCTGTTCCATACTTTTCCCACCCATACCCAACAACCCTCCAAGTTTACAGCCAGGCTTCGTCCCAGCAATTACTTTCCTCTTCCTCAGCTCCTCTGTTACCCCGACTGTCCCAAGCCTTTGCATTGCTTCTGAGGGGTGCGGGAAATATAGTTCTGTATTGTAGTTTAAATTAATTATTACTCAAAGTTCTGTATTAATATGCCTAGTAAGGAATCTGATTGTCAAAAAAACATTTCCTGAATCTTTTTTGTTGTTTGTATTGTTACATACATACTTGCTGACAGGTATTTTGAAACGAATTACCAAAATAATTGAAACTGGTGTGATTATATGGTGTTATTTTGACAAAATATGCAGAATTTTAAAATATTGTATGTAGATTTTAAATTTTTTGGTGCAGAATTCCCCCAGGAGTAAAGTACACCTCTACCTTGATATAACGCTGTCCTTGGGAGCCAAAAAATCTTACCGCGTTATAGGTGAAACCACGTTATATTGAACTTGCTTTGATCCACCTGAGTATGCAGCCCCCCCCCCGGAGCACTGCTTTACCGCATTGTATCCCAATTCGTGTTATATTGGGTTGCGTTATATTGAGGTAGCGGTGTAAACATAAGAAGCACACAGTTGTGTGATGGCATATTTTAAAAGCGAGGAAAGTGGTAGTATATATTTTCTGTAAATTTACTATGAGTTATAGAAATGCAGTTTGGGAGTCCAAACTCAAAGCTGTGTTTTAAAAAAATGTTTTTACAATGAATTTCAGTACATGTTGAAGATGTCAGTTAGCACCACTTAGAAATGAAGTATTCCCTGTATCCCTGGAACAAGAATAGCAATGACCGTGCAAGTTTCTTCTTGTCAGCATACCTCAACCGAGATTGGGAAAAGCTACCTCTTTTTCATCCTTCACAAAACAGGGTGAAAAACTCAATCATTTCAAGTCAATCTGAAAAAATGGGGTTGATTCCAAATGAAATTTTGTTGAGTCCTTGATTTGACAACAAAAATTAAAAAATGGGTTTGGTTCAAATTGAACTGGATATTTTTTGTTGGCTCTTCCTCCCTTGAACCAAAAAATCCATTATTTGTTCAGTTCTACTCAAAATGCTGCCAGGGCTGATGGTGTCTCCTATGATGTGTACACCTAAGAGGACCATTGACTAGCTATGAAGTTATGTTTAGTGTCCGTGTAGGAGTTAATTATTGAGTCTGTTATTCAGTGAGTAAGAAAAAAGATGTTGCCTCCAATGGTTGCATCTCTGTGCCAGACTGATGATAGCCTCAGCAGCCAATTAATGCGAGTTGATGCATTTTGACAAGACACTGAATTCTAATAGCCAAACTTGCTGTAGCTTGGCTGCAAAAGGTGCCTTTACACATGTATAGTAGGGATTATTCGTAGAGGTCTATTTTGGCTTTGCCACAATCCCCATGTACACAGGCAGTGTGCGTAGCCTTTTGCTCCTTAAATATCCTGGGAGACACTTGGGATGGGCCACAGTGTGGCCCATAGTGATTTTTTAAATTGCCATAAAGGCACAGTTTGTTCAGGATTAAATGTTCAGGAATTGTGGATGGAGGGAAAATGATCAGTGGAATTTAGAAATTTAAACCTTTTTGATGGTATTTAAAATCAGGCTAATACTTAACTAAGGATTTTCAGGAAGGAATTCTAAGGGTTTGAAACAAATAAGAGCCTTGGATGAAAGTATCTGGAGGCTGTCACTTCATTCTTCCTAAGTCATTTTGTTCACTTGGCTCACTGCAAAGAAACTCATGTTTCATACATGTGGACTCCTCTTTGCTTTAAAGCCTAGTTAAAAGGGGCCCAAGTTGTCACTGAAAACATACGCAGAAATGACAACATTTTAAAAAAAATATTCAGCTTGGAGCTAAATTTACAGATTCTTAAATATTCCTGTTTGCACTGCTCACTGGAGAGAGTGGTGTGCTCCATGGGAGGTGGAGAGCTTACTGGCACAAGTTCTCTGCCTCCAGGATAACTTTTGATTATGGAACTGTTTGAATACTTTGACTCTAATTGTCTTTTCTGGCAAGCTCTGAGCTGGTGGTCTTCCATTCCTCCCTCTGAACTAGAGTTAGGATCCATGACCACCTGGAATTTTCCTTGCCCTTATTCCATGGTTTTGAATATTTCCTAATGAATTAACCCCTTGGTTCTTAATTTGATTTGAGCCATTTTTTGTCTGGTATTTTAAAACCCTGATAATTAATGGTAGTGCATAATATACTGGGGCATTGATGGCATATTTCATAACTACTTAAACTATCTGAAGTTTTACTTTATGAAAATATTTCCATTTAATTATAGAAATGCCCAACTAAATTTTAACAAATTTGGATTTTTGAAGCTCAAAGAGGGAAAAGACTGAATCTGGTTTCAGTAAGCATCATTTTATATGACACATTATGATAAGTAAGCTGTTCCGATGGTAATGCTTTATAGTACTATTCAGAGCATTGAGGTGTACAAGTGGTGGACTGCTAAGGTAGTTGTCCCTGGTGGTTCAGAAGGGAAGGGGTACACCGTCAGATGAGCTTTTATTGCTTTCCTTTTAGCCAATGGTGTATAGTATAGCCGGGTTTGTTTTTAAGGGGGGAGTTGAGGACACAGTGGGCTGGTCAGTCTCGTTCAGGAATGACCTTTGGGTTGGGACCTATGAGTAGAATGAGAAAAGATAGAATATAGCATATGACTATACAAAAACATTAATTGTACATATTCAATATTTAAAGGTAAATTACAACAAAAATGATAGTGCAAGCAATTCATTCTTTAAAGATAAAATGTGAATTTATACGGTGTCTTTTCTTTGAACTGCATCTAGCCCAATGGTGTCCTGCTCCGTAATTATTAGGGATCCGAGGTGCTACAAATAGTAATCCTAGGTAATACAAATAACAACTCCCTATTGTTTTAGTGGTAGTGCAGTGACTATAGACAAATGAAGTAGCTATTGTGCATTGAAACCAGTTCACACACAGCCTGTGATATCCTTAGAACTTATTGAATGAGGAAGTGTCAGCCATCGAACTGGGGTTATCCCTTAATGTGTTTGGAAAGTAATACAAATCTCTAATATCCACCTGGAGAGGTTCCAGGGATTAACAGAACAGACTGATCTGAAAGACAGCATCTCTAACAATACTGAGCCCCACTCCATTCCAAATATGCACCTGCTGCACTGACATCTACCCAGCATGCATTGGGTGGGTATAAAAACCCAAATCCTTGTGAGGGACATGAAACTGCAAACTTTTAGCTCAGAACTGAAAGTGTGGTTATGCTAACAGTCTGAAATGAAAAGTTAACGTTTTGTTTACAAGTGTCAGAGACCCATGTCCTCCCCAATATGACTTTGTCTGTGGTGCTTGATTCTGCATCCACTGAAGTCAGGTTGAGAGGCTTCAGTGAGATTAGGATCAATCTGTGATGTTTTGTGATGTAACTCCATACTAGTTTTTTTTTTCTTTTCCCTTAGGAGGTTTAAAATTAAACTCCCTCTTTCTTTTAACCATCTAATAGGAATCTGGGTCTGATTGAAGTGTCTGTCCAATTGATCCAGTTGCTTCATGAATTAGAAGTTGAACAGGAATCGTTATTGGCTGGTAAGAGAGTATGCATTTTGGGTAATGTGTAACCTACACTATTTTGTAAAATTATTATATTTTATTGCTTGGTGGCAATTTTATAAATTGTAGCATTATGTCCTGAAATCAACTTTTGACGTTTTTCTATAAATAAGCTAAATAGTTCTTCATTTGGTACTTGGCATGCTAACCTTCTTTCCTAATTTGTATTTTTTTTTAAATTGGTGGACTAAGAATAGTTTGTGTCTCATGCGTATATACAATATAATATAGCTGGTGCTTTAAAAGTCACCTGAAGGAGTAAGGCACCGAAATCTGACTTTTCAATGGGAATTTGGTGTCTTAACTCCTTGGTGTCACCTGGAAAATACCAGCCCTAAACCCTTCACATATACACTGTTTTACTAGGCCCATAATATTTGTCCTCCATTGTTCCCTGGAGATTGTAAAGGGGAAGATATATGGAAACTTCAGTAAAATTATCAGGATATTTAAACTGGCAAAAATGAAAAATGCCTATGATGCCTCCACTCTAAATATCTTTTGCTGTCTTATTGTCTTTCGCTTGATTTGCTGTCATGCAGAAATGAGTATATATTCATTTTTCTTTCTCTGACATTCTAGAAAGAATTTGTTTCTTGGATTCAGATAAATTATATGGCTGTGGCCTCTCATTACATAGTTGTACCACTCTCTCTGGGCAGTCAGGACAGTATGTGCCAATAGCTGAACAATCGATTCAAGACCCATTCTTCCCTTAAACTGGACATATAGAGAAGTATGCTGTTCAGAGAGAAGAAACTCTGTTGGCCCAATGATCCGCACTGCTTCATGTCAGCTGCACTTGCACACCACCACCACCACTTTTACACCCCTCCTCCCCTGCTCAATTCACATTAAGTAAACTTCAATAACTTGTCTTCTCCTGTTTTTCTGTGTATATATGAGTAGGGCCACCAACTCTGCCATTCATGGTGGTGAGGAAGGCTGGGAGAGAAAACATTTGGTTCCCAGTCTGCTTCATTGTCTCCTTCTTCCCTTTGGAGGGATGGGTAGTTTTATTGCCTCCTGTGATTGCTGTTCCTCTCTCCTCTTGTGGAGGGAGTGGAATTGGTGCCACCAGTGGCTTCTCTTCAAACACCTGCATCAGGTTGGAAAGGAGCAGTGGACCCCAGGAGACCTTTCCCACAGGACTGTTATAATGTAAGGTCAAGACAAATTATTTCAGTTCCCTGTTGTTGATTCCTTGCCCACTTCCACCACTGTTCTATCCCTTGTTGGGCTAGGGAAAGATTAGTGAGACTTGCAGGGATTCTGTGTGGAGGGAGCAGTACCAGAGCCCCCATTCTTGTCAAGTAGAGGAGGAGCCAGGGAAGGGAGAACCCTCCACAGAATGTGGAAGGGAGGAGTTGGGAGAACGTGGGAGATGAACCTCCAACCATTTCATGGAGCAGGGAGAGAGGATTAGGACCAGAGGGAACACTCCGTTCCACACCCGACCACTTCACAGGCCATGGAGCGAAGAGCAGAACTGGGGGAAGGAGGAGTGGGAGCCGAAACCTTATAGGGCAGGACAGAGGCCCATAGACCCTATCCAAGGTAGTAGAGAACGATAGGAACAAAGGGTTGACCCCTGGGGAAGCACTTGCCACCTTTAACTCCTTCAGAGGAACAGGGAGAACAGTGTGCATAGAGAAGCAGAGAGGACCATCCTTTCCTACCCCTTAATAGGGTCATGAAAGGAGGGAGTCTTTTTTTTGCCAACTTCTGCAGTGGCTGTGAGTGTTACTGCACTCATTGCAAAAAGCTTTGTGAACGCTGGGAGGACTCTCACTCTTGTGTGGCATGATGCTTGTTACTTCCAGGTATGTGCTGTGATGTTCATGTGCTACTCTGCTGCTGTTTGGATCACAAGAAACAGCAGTGAGACGTCATCATCCAGAAAACTGACTTGGTGGAAAAATGAGGCTGAAATACTTAAATTTGTAAAACCATATTATTAAGCCCTTGAAATTTAGAGTAATAATCTACTTTATGGTTTATTAACCTTAATACACATATCAGCATATGGGTTTGCAGAATGAGGAGTTTAAATTTTAAATAAAATTGGAAAACTAACCCTGAGAGAGAGAGAGACTGCTAAATACTATATAACTAATATATAACACTATAACTAATCTGAAAACTGTGCTCTCTTGCTGTGCATGAGTGTATGTAAAAATGTGGTCAGAAGTTAAGTACTGTACTTGAATTAGCCCATGAAAGGATTTGTCCATGAAAATTAATGAGAGAGATGAGAAAAAGTGTCTCTAACCCTTAGAACAATGGAGTTTTCCAGGTGGCTGGCTAAGTGAAAATTGAGGAATAACACAGAAGTAGAATGTGTTTACAAAAGACAGCATTTATGGTTCTACTTAATGCTTGTGAAGAGAAGGGCTGTTAGACTGGGTGAAGCTTTTAGTTGGATTAAAACTAAACCTAAATCAGTTTACCATACTACTATATTTATGTTTTCTCCATCATTTTTATTACCGCATTTACCAATTATCAGATATGTTTCTCCCCTCTGGGCTGTCTTGTCATATTTCATAACTGCAATGATATCCTGGGGCCAGATTTACAAAGGTATTTAAGGGCCTAAAGATGCAGATAGGTGCCTAGTGGGATGTTCAAAGGTTAGCAGATTAGGCACCTAAATCCATTAAAATAAATTTTTGCAACTGAAAATCCTACCCAGGTGCCTCTCTGCATCTTTAAGGTGCCTAAATGCCTTTTGAAAATCTGACCCTATCTCCTTCAGAATCTTGATAAAATGTAAGCACAGAATCTAAGGGCTTGTCTACGCAAACACGCAGTTTGTGGCAAACTGAGATATGAATCTACTGTCTGTGTGGAGCCTACTGACTAGGACTAAAAGTTCCCTAGTGCACTTTGATATAACTTACTTTAGAATTGAAGTAAATTAAAGCACACTAGGGAACGTTTAGTGTGCCAGTAGGGTCCGCCAGGATTATGACTGTGTGGTAGGCTAATGCACTCTAGATTTACACCTCCGCTTGCTGCAAACAAAGTGTTTGTGTAGATAAACCCTCAGACCTTGCAGGATGAAGAATTCGATTATAATTAATGCTTTTCTCTTGAGTTGATTCCACTATGAAAACACGCCTCAAACTGTATCATGTAACTTAAATGAATTTTAGGAACCGAAAAAGTCTGTTTTAAATAATCAGCCTTAAGATGTATGTTTTCGCTCCAATTTCTTCCAGTGGTATCTATTTTAAGTCGTTCAGTGTGGTATGGCAATATTAGTAGGAAAGTTCAGAATGTACTATAATTTGTAATGGATAAAAAACACTGAAGTAATATATATATAGTATCCTTGGCAAATACTGTACCAATGTGGTTGGTTTGGGGGCAGGGAGGGAGTAGGGAGGAAAGTTTGTTTTAATGATGTATTAATGAATAAAGCAGCAAAAAGAGGAAATGCCGTGTTAAGTGCTGTGTGTTGTTAAACCCGGTTAGATTAAATCCAGACTTGCTTTGCATCTTCTCAGCTATGTGAATATTAACATTTTTCCTTTTTTAAATGTGTGGTACTATTTACGTAGGGGCCTTGGTGAGATTCCACAGGCATAATTTAGATGAAAGCATTGTCTTTTTCTGATGTATCACCAATTTTCCCTGTGAGTTGCCAAATATCCTGGACCTTTAAGGAATACTGTTTTCCAGTTTCTTTTCTTGAGTAGAAACAGCATAGCGATATTCTTCTGCATTTTAATCTACCCCTCACAACGAGCAGATAGATAGAACCAATGGAGAAAATAGTGTCTGTCTAGTCATGCTCTTAGTTCTTAGCTGTGCATAATCACACAGATTATGAAGATAGCCTGGATAGTCTAGAAAAGCTCGGATGATCTCGAGTCTGTTTGTCAGAAAACTCATTCTCCAAAGACCCACGGCATCTTGTTTGCAACAGTTCTTAAAATAAAAATATCTGGCAAATTCATACACACAGCTATTGGAGATGGTAAAGACCTATTGGGCTACCCAACCCCACTCATTATCTATCTGTCCCTCTAAGAATTTCTTAGCATCTTGTTCAGTCTAGTTTTTAAAAATGTATAGCTATTGAAGTGACTTTCGTGAGTTTCCTTTAGAGACCTTTCCACAGATTCCTAATTAAATGTTGCAAACTTTCCCCTTTAAGTTCATGCTGTTAGTTGCAGTTAGACTATACCCCCAGTTCCTCTTCTCCTACATTTACTGAAGTGTGTAACAGAGTCCTAACGGTTTGCTGTGCAGAACTTGGAGTAAGGCAGGGTCCCTGCTCTGGGGAGGCTAAACACTAAGAAGACAAACTCAGGGAATTTAAAAGCTAGATGAGCACAAGGTGTTGATGCACAGTTGTGCTACAGTGTTTGTGTTTGGCTTAGTTTGTTGCTTTAATGATCATAGCACTTCACCTGGTTGGATTTAAGGCTGATAGATGTCACAGTTGAAGTAGTTTAAAGTAGCAAATGCTAAGACGGCAGCTCCCATTGAAGGAGAGAACTGCAAATTAAATTGAGTTGAGATAATGAAACTCTGTCAGGGATTTTTCATTGAGTTAACTAAGGCTTTAATCACTGGAGTTGTCTGAGTAGATTGTATGGATGAGTCTCTCTTTCTGCAGTGCATGTGCTCTTGGTGCCCAAACTGGTAACTGTAGAGTAAGGTCATGGCTGCAGACGTGCTGTCTCACAGATTGAACATCTTGAGTAAGGGCCCATAAGGAGTAAGGGCCCAAGGACGTGTCCGAAGAAAAGTTTTTTCCCCTGGTCTTGCCACCATAATCTTTGAAAACCATGCTCCAAGAGGTTCAAAAGTTGACTCCATGGAAGCAAAATATTTAAGTCCAACACAGGGCAAGTTAAGTTAGAAAATTCAAAGAGGTTGTTGAGATGGGGGTTTTTTTTGTTTTGTTTGTTAAAAGTCTACTATGTCCAGAAGGCACAGCAGAGCTAGAAGGAGAAATAGGC